GACGGTCGTTACCCACCTTCCCCCCCACTCTTACGCCCATCTGCATGATCGGCATTGCAAAACTCCACCGCGTTCACCCATCCTTGGTGGCCCCGGTTTTCCATTTCGGTCTCGCCTCACAAACTTCATCGATCCTCCCCAAATTCTCTGTTCACATTCGCTCTCGATGACCTCTCACCTGGCTCTTGGTTCGCACAAGAACCATACGCCCACCTACATGCTCAGCCGCACCGCCCATATCATGCTCGCAGTCAGACCTGGCCACATGCACATACCTTCGACCACACCCTCGTTCAATGATTCACTCACACACCTGCCTTCATGCCTCCGCCTGCAATCCCCTTACCAACAAAACACAACCCACCCGCCCAAGTGCACGCGTGCGTGCCAGCCGGAGCCAGCCCGAACTCGTCTTTCCGCTCTTGGCCCTCCCGCCCACTTAGCCTCCTGCTCTCCCGCTGCTCTCCCGCCTACGCGGCTTCTTGGCCCTCCCACTCTCGTCCGCTCTCCTGTGCCCTACCCGTCTGCTCAGCCTCCCGTGCAACTCCGCCCCCGCCCCGGCCGTCGGCGCCGCTGCTTCCACTTTCGGAGGCCGCTGCGCCGCGCCGCGCCGCGGTCCATCCCGGATGACAGCGTGCAGGGCCTACAGCTCGGCGTTGCCAGGTCGGGCTTTTGCTTCTTTTGGTGCTGCCGGCCGCGGGCCTCGCCTCGGCGCCCGCGGTGCGCCCGAACGCTCGCGCGGCGCTGGGCCAGGGGGCCTTGCGCCTTGCCACTTGCGCCTTGCCATTTGCGCCTTGCCACTTGCGCCTTGCCACTTGCGCCTTGCCACTTGCGCCTTGCCACTTGCGCCTTGCCACTTGCGCCATGCGCCTTGCGCCTTGTCACTTGCGCCTTGTCACTTGCGCCTTGCCACTTGCGCCATGCGCCTTGCCACTTGCGCCTTGCGCCTTGCGCCTTGCGCCTTGCGATGCTGGCTTTCCGGCGTCGGCTTCGACGCAGTGCGTTGCGGATTACCAAGACACGGTGTCTATCCACGTTTAGGAATATCACATAACATCTTTGATCTGGAAAAATTATTAAATTTTTTAGATGAGTTTTGCGAAGTCATGTAAGCTTTTATGATAACCCAGAAAAACGTGATAATATTTCTGAAGAACATTACTTCAGCGTCATTCCTGACTCATTTTTATTCTTGAAGTACAGTATATGTTGTTAGTTTTCTTTTCACAGCGAATACAGGTAGCACCCAAACTAGTAGAAATTATGAAGACTTTTTTTAATTAAAATTTAATATAAATTGTACAAATTGTATTAGAAAAATTAAAAACGTACGTATACTGGAACACCTGGAAAAATCTAGAGAGTTTGTTCTAGAAAAAGTGGCCCTACATGATTTCCCTGCGTACTTTTGTTGCTGATAAATTTACGTATAATATATTAGATTACTGGATGATGCGGCTACATTTTATCTGAACGTTGTTCTGAGGGCTTGAGTAAGTTTTGTGTTTTTCAATTAATTGATAGCCATTTAATTCACTATTAAATGAGACTTCTAAAATGAAACTGATTTGAAGGCAAATTCAGTTAATGCTTTCCTGTGCCCTTTCGAGTTTGCTTCGCCCTTCGATACATTAAGTTCGACACCATTGATGTTTAGTTATTTTTCTGTTGTTATCCCGCTAATTATCATTGCTAATTGAGAGTCACATTACTCATATCCTTGCATCGCCATTTCGCGTTCACCATTACTCGCCCTTTCCATCCGGCGGGCTGGTTTCTCTTTGGCGAACACTGCTGTCTGTGTATTATACTGCATGTTGGTGAAAGTAGCGCACTCTTTTGACATGAGTACAATACAGAGCGGAAACCAGTTCGAGTATTTCGTTTACAAACCCGACTGTACGGATTAGAAGGCATACTAAATGTAACGGTACCAAAATTATGATCGGTGCTTTGTACTTGAAAAGGAGTTTTCGAACCGATGTACTCCTCTTCGACAAATGTCCATTGAACATGCATTTTGTTTTCTACATCCTTATATAGTTATCTAGCAACGTCTGTCTGTCACTCACAATTTTAGGCACCTCCCAGTCCATCGATACAGACAAATGAGAGTGTTCTTCGACGCGTCTCCGTCACCTGGTGGGGAACTGTATTTTTTTATTTATTTATTTTTTTGCAAGTCTATCTACAAAATATTTAAGATTTTTTTCTAAAAGCGTATGTTATCGAGTTTTAGGCAACTACAACGGGTTTTGGGAGACTTACGGCACTTTAGAGGTAATCAGTAGCTCATTGGATTCCTCTTGACAATTTTTATCGATTGGTACAATTCTTAACCAGTTACTCTAAGTTATTCTGGAAGAATTCTATAAAAACACGTGTTTTTGATGGTTTCACTGCTCTTGCAAGAGCATTAGTGAAGCACTGAATTACTTGACTCTCTTCCCGACGTTTACATGAATCGTAACAACTTGATTCTCCAGATGGACGATAAATTAACCTATTTTGTAATGAAACAAAAATTTAAACAAATAGATTTTAATCGATGCTTTTTCTTAAATCTTTCAAAGTCCGAAATCTTGCATAGACGAAAGCGGGCGACTGTAATACGTTTATAATGTATTTTCTTTCTTTTTTATATTAAGGAATGTTGTCGGTGAAGATGGCCGAGATCGTTAGGACAGTAGTGCTTTAGCGATCTCGAACCTGAAGACCGCGCGTCACAGTTCCGCCCCGGGCATGGGTGTATTTGTATATGTCTATATGTGTGTGCTGTCCTTTCATCCCTCACTATCATCATCATCATCATCATATCATCATCCATACCCCCAAGGGCTAACAACATTGGGATATAAAAATCGGGATTCAGCTAAAATGCTGATCCTCACCAGATAAAAGTACTTGCACCTGCTGAAGCCGGATGCACGCGTGGTTCGAGCTAGCCTATACGCGAAAAAAAGAGGAATATTGTGATGTTAAATGTTTCTCGAATTCATATTTGAAAAAACAGTATTTGATTGATAATTCTTCTTTACAATAAACAGAAACCCTCATTCGTATTATTCGGCACTTAGCGTTATTTCAGCAGGGATTCATTCATAGAATCGAATAAAAAGTACTCCTGTCGAAAATTTCTTTTGTCTTTCACAACGTTATTAAATGAGTTTAATTTTCTCACGGCCTGTAAAGTGAGTAGAAAATGTATGCTCGTGCGACATATTTTCAGCCAACTATACCCTGAGGTAGGTGTGGAAGCAAATAATCTATCAGGCGTCTCAACTATGATGCCCTCAACCATAGCGCAAGAAATGACATTGTAGCATCGTGTTCGCCCTTGGCAATATTTCCTGGCATTATAATTCCTTTCACAGCCAATGCTTGGTACTCAACTCGCCACCTAGCATACATGATGCCCCAAGCGTGCCATCCTGGGTTACAAAGAAGCAGCTCGTCTCTTTAGCTGTACGTTTTATTCGTTTTCGACTCTACCTCAACATATGTCTTCGTGCATTTCTCCTAAAAGAGTACTGAAAACCGAACTAACAAATGTATTTAATTTTCTTGTGAATGTTGCGTATTTTGAAACGTTTGACCTACTTTTGTTTATTAAATGATAAGTTTGCAATAGTGTGTTCTTAATGTATTTTCTCTAATTGGTGTAATGTGTTTGGATTTGCGCGAGAATCACTTCTGATCTTCAACGAGATCACTGAGTGATCGGTTGTTAGTCAGATCATTTCTGAAATCTAACACCTTTCTGACACTTATATTAATTACATTTTCGCAACGAATGCACATAATCATTCAACTGCGAAATGTATTGAGAATAAATGTACCAGTAAGCTACGCAAAACAACCTGTCAAATCCTTATTCTGTTCGGCACCCTGTAATAAAATACGAGACAAACTCTATCGAGCACGCAGTATGCAATACGCGTTAAATATGATCAGTTGCTAGTTTGTTCGTCTCAAGGTATTACCCGTTACAGGGTAATACCTTTCACTTTTAGCGAACTAGAAACTTTTCAGATTCCACAGTTATAGTACACGAATCGACGTATATTATCTTTCATAGTGAATAAAAAAAGAGTTCTCTCAATTTCTACGTGCCACTGTTAGTTAACATGAAGCAACGTTATCTCTGTCGTATGACATCCAAGTTGCATTACCTACTGATGTTAGTAAAACTACGCCTGATGTGTCGTACAGAATGCTATATTTGTCATGTGTATATTAGATAAATGTTTCATTTAGGTATGCTAATCAAAAGTCACTCAAGTGTAGTTACAATAATAATTTTTATCCCATCACTACGATCCGCCCATTTCTCTTCAGATAGAATATTAACCGCCGATTTTCACTCCGTCACGAAGCGGGAAGGGTGCATCTCAGAACACGTTGTGAAACTTCTTCACAGCATCTGGAAATACTCCAGCATGAGTTTCTTCATTGAGCCGCCTTCTCTTCGAGTGCTTTGGCTGCTCATGCTCACTTTAACGTTGCTCGTACGTGCGTGCCTTTCAGTCAGTTCCTGCGGCCTCTGTGAATACTGTTATTATGCTAATGAAAGAAACACAACGCGGTTAGTCTCACGAATTGCTCGAGACTTTAGAGGGTCATTAAGCTTAACTGCTGTGAAGAAGGGAAAGACATATATGGTGACAAAGTGCTTTATTACGAAGCAAAACGAGCGATGTAATTGGCAGCTACGTCAAGTGCGCTTCTCATTTTAATGGCGAAATGCAGCCAATTGTATAGTTGAACGCGCTCAGCGTTGTGAATCTGTCAGCGCAGAACGAAGAACTGTAGGTATGAGTATATATTGTGGACGAAGGGGTACATATGCGACCCTGGGTGATGGCCTGCGAGATTAACAAATTCCTTAGATAGTATTCTTAATTACATGTGTTACATGTAAATAAAATATTGCACTTTTTGATTGTAATGGACGGGATGCCTAAAGCAATGAATTATAATCTTATTTCTGTCTGTTTCAGGTGAGTATCAGCTCCTCTCTGAATTCTCCAGTGTTCTTATCCTGTGGGTGTCGGCGGTGAGTTTAAGTCAGAAACACGTGAAGTCATACGTTCATATTGGAAAAATCTCAATTCCTGGAAACAAAGATAGTAGATGTCCATTAAAATTAGTTGTTTTTAATTATTGTTTGGCGTGTATTATTACGCAATGCGAATTTGTATTTTTATTTATTATTATTATTATTATAATTATTATTATTATTATTATTATTATTATTATTATTATGCTGGAGATTCACATTTTTTTCTCTGTATATTTTTCACTTATAGGCACGTCACCGTTTTCTGCATTCATTGTGTTACTAGTAAATCTATTTCCATTTGATCGTAATAATTATATTGATGAATGTATTTTCATCCCTCACCATGATTCATCACTATTTATAACCCCCGACTATCTTCGTCCTCCCAGGGAAATACTCAGCCAAAGCCCCTCTGTGATCCCCTCCCCAGGAAAGGTGAGGGCATAAACACATCCTGACATTCGCTCGTATACCGAGTATTCATCAGATGTTATTTTCTGCTTATTCCATTCACTCATCGTAACGGCATAATTTGACCAGGAAGTCGTAGGGTTCGAGCCTCGACGGGTGCAGATACATTGCTATGTCGTATTTAACCGGGAGGAGGAATCCAGCTGCCTGCTTCTCTGTTCTGTAGTTTTTCGTGGTTTCTCCGATCAACACGAGGCGAATGCCGGTGCAAATACCCTAACAAACGGGCCATGAACCGCACACGATCTTTCCTTCCTCTCCCCTTGCACATCCACACTTACCATACACGCACTACATTACCACACATATCGGAAACAAGAGCTTGTCTCGGCTATGCAGTTCCTCAGAGGGGGTATTATATGTAGGGGAACTCTTCCGCAAGCCGTCGTGTACGTCAGCCCTGGTTCTCAACGTGCTCTGTGTGTGACACCGCCGTCTCTTGGAATAAAACAATCACAACACTAACGGGACTAATCGCCATAGTAATTGATGTGCCCAGAAACACCAATCAATCCATAGCAGAATTAAAAATTGTGTACGTAAACATCAACTGATGCAAAAACTGTACAATGGCACGCTAGGCATGAATATGACCAAACGTTCATCATTAGTACTGTGGGTCAATCTGATGGTCGATATTGCCCCCCCTCCCCAACCAACAAAGTAAAGATACAATCTAAATGTTCCGTGTTAAAATGCTTAAATTGATCGGCGACATATTTACAAACTGCGTAAAGGAGACTTGCAAGGCTAGCTTGAACGTGAATAGAGCCCTTAAAGGACTGCTACGTTGGTGTTAATAATGATATTTATCTTAATTTTAACAAAAAGATTGCCTTTAAATATTGAAAAGTGTACTAATTTCTGGGATCGTGGAGGAAAGAGATTTCCATCCCATAGATCGGCGTCCATTACACAGACCGCGAGCCGACGATGGCGGCGGGCGGCGCATGTGCGATTCGGAATCCGCCGCACGCGGCCGGGGGCGAAAGAGCGGCTGGCGTGGGCGGGGCCGGGGCCGGAGGCGCCTGCACGCAACAGCTGCCACCGCCGCCGCCCGCGCGCGCCTCACAGCCCCCGTGGTTGGGGGCTGCCTCCTTCCGCGGCGGCGTAAACAAGGGCGTCGGGCGGGCGCCGGGCCCAGGTGGCGCTCGTGGCAGCCGGCGGCTGCCGCGGGAGGGGGAATTTGGAGACAGTACTTCATATTTCGATGCCTGAAAAAAAAAAGTTCGTCTCTCTAGTACTATACTATTTGTAATAAATTTTAAGCAGAAAAGTATTCTGCGATTTAATTATAGTGACTTCGGACGTTTCATCAGCTGGGATGCAATTATCCAATCGGGAGTTTCAAGACCAAAAGTTAAACCGTAACGTTTTCCGTTCAATGACTGCGTCCAGCTTATCAGCAGGCAATATAATTAAATCGATGTATTATGTACTATGTAATATTCATTGTATTATTTATTACTAGATTCATAATTGTAAAGTAAACTATATCTGCATATACCGTTATGTACTTTTTCCCACGAACGTGTTTATTATAGATTAGGTTTTTATAATTCATTTTTTTAAATCAAAAACGCAAATGTTTTAATGTTTTCATTTCAGCAAATATTTCAAAACTCGAATATTATGTTTATGTTGTATATTGTACAATCCACCGGATAGTGATTCTACATGTGTTCTGGGAGCAGCGGTAGTATTTTTGAAGCGGAGAGCTCTGTTCAGGAAGCGGCGGGCGCAGATGCCGTGGGACGTAGGTGGGTGAGGGGGAAGGGGCCCCAGGGGACGCTTGCCGCTATTCGCGCCCTCAGCGCCGCCGACGTCGACGCGACAACGCGCTTTACAACGCGCGGATTTCACTTTTATGGCCGCAATTCAAATGAGAGGACGTGCGAACTCTGCAGGAAGCCGCCGGGCGGGTCGCGCTATCTGCTTTCCCTTTTCGACAGAATTCCGCCTCGAAAACTTCTATGCAGTGGTAGAGCACATGTAACGGACGAGTGTGGACGTGATTTTGACAGTAAGTGCGGTAATTTAATATCAGCGTGAAAAATTGTCTTAGTAGTTTTATGTGCCAATACCTCATATCATGCAACACGGACAAAAAAAGCTTTGCCGGAAAAATATTCATATTATGACGGGATAAAGTACTTATTTCTTCAATTGACAGAAATATCATATGGGGGAGAGTAGTATACACAACGAGACATGCTACACCACGAGAAAAGGGCTGAAAATTGGACAAATACGTGTGCGTAGTAGGTGTGGCAGAGTTAGAAGTTTGCATATCAGGTTGCCTCAATGCAATTTTAATTTTGTCGCGCTATTGTGGTTACAAGTGCAACATTGAAAAATTTTATGTTTAAAGTTATGGGAGGTCCCGTGATAGTGATTTAACGTTATTTAAGTAAGTTGCAAAGTACACTGAATTCTGTAATATATTAGTTTTAAATTAATGTATAGTTGTTGCGGAATATACACATGTCTTTAAAGCTGGTTTGCTGATATCACAACCCCATGGATATTCACTTACAAGTTTGAGTCGCCTGTCAACTGAGCAGACAACTTCACTGCTGTGTCAATGATGCTCCCCAAACTGGAAAGGAAAACTAAAAACAATAAGGCAACCAAGATACTTTAAGAAATTATAAGGTTTCCAATTCACTTTGGGAATCTTCGCGTTCCCTAATACTACTTTTACTTTTCGAACATACGTGTATGGCAATTTTTGTTGTATCATTCCAATAAATATTTTGCTGAATTTCAAAATGTATGTAATTTTTTGAATTTGAATAATTACAAGTGAAATATTATTCAGTTTCCTTATTTGAATGTTACTCTTAAACTCTATGGTATTAAACTCCATTTTGTGTTTTAATTATAACATATTGAGAAAAGTGTTTACTGTGTCGTGTCACAATGTGGACAATGTGTGGTGCTCAGCGAGACAAAAAAAATGTTGAAATGAAATTCTTTTCTCAAAAAGTTGGTAGGTAATGGTAATGTTTTAAATTATTAAATATGTCTTCAAGAACCTCAAAAAATTGTATGAACGGATTTTCATTTTTTTTTTTAAATAAGATGACTCACGAAAACAATATTGCATTGGGCACTACTCTCTCCTGCACAATTCTATTTCCTTATATTATTTCAGAACAATTACTTAAAGTGGACAGTTAATGGCTTTCTTATACACTACAATATCCTTTGAATTCTGTTTATTGATTGAATTTGAATGAGTTCACGAGAGCGTGTTCATTCTTCAGGCGGTATTCATTTGAATCTGATATACTCGTTTTTAAATGTGGTTGCGGATTATAAGTGTCTTTTGCCAGAAAAATATTCCATTTATTTCTTGAACGTTACGGTTTGGTACAAGTCATTAAGTATTGTAATAGTAGTACATCAAAACGGTATATTTAGCAAACCAATATAATTTCGTGAGTATCATGTGGGTTAGTATTGTGACGTCATGGATACTCACAGCGACCACAGACACAGAGCTTTCGTATAACAAATATATTTATTAACAAGAAAACAAAACAAATATATACACTTAATAATCACTTTAAACCCTAGCTCTGATAGACCTACTATCCCCTGATCGCGGGAGCGATCCAAAACCCAATTGAAGATGGTTTTGATTGTGGCATTCGCCACTCCTACTTTTGAAGCGCGCACAAAGCCTAGCTTCCGTGACCGGATGTCACGCTGGGACACAAAGTCCGTTCTGGCGCACCAACGGCTGGTTTGCCTCGATCGCAGGAGCGATCTTATCCGATTGAGAATCGGCGTGAATCGTGGCACTCAACCACTCTTCACCTCGGAGCACGCACACAGCATCGCTCCCCCGTGACCGCAGTCACCCAAGGACATAAAGTCCGCAGGCTTCGTCAACTAATGACTCCAGCCTCGCGAGCCTGGCTCGCATATGCACCGTCTTGGCGCCAAGTTTTGTGCACACGCACGAGGTTCTCCCACCGTCTCCAGAACCTGCCTACTGGCTCCGTACACTCTGTTATATAGGCGAGGCCCACGTGACCTCCTACGTCACGCCACCCCCTCGCTTGTTATAACAGTGAAAAGCTTCTATAAGCCGGAAGACACCCAAAGCCTTGTGTCTCCCGTCTCCGCGTTCTTCCCTTTACGGAAAAACCCTACTTCCTGTGGCGAGACTAATCCGCAACCAAGCGTCCCCAAATAGATGCCATGAGGCACGCTGGCTAATACGTTACAGTATATTCAGAATAGGACTTGAGATACGGTCTGTGCTTTCCATTTACCTTCTCTTCAAAATGTAATAAGTCAATTGAGTTAACCTGTTTGCTGCTTTGAAATTAAATGTTTAAATTCTCAAGAACAAAATAGTCTTCTTTTAATTAATACGAATAATAATTTATAATATGCTGCACTCTTCGCGATCGTTACAAATTCTGTTGCAATGGAGATCGCTGTAGCGTAAACGTATAAGAAAAATTTACCAGACTCCATCCACAGCGCTCCAACTGCAAATAGTATTTCTCCCATGTC